CCCCCTCCCCCCCTTCCCCCCCCTCCCCCCCCCCCAACTGCTCCACTGTAACAGTGATCAGTGAATGTACTACCAGTATACAGTATACATTAAGGTGTTTTCAATGTGAACTTATAATTAGTAACGCTTATATTATGTGATGATTAACTTGCTTCTAATATTTCTTGATGCAGGATTTTAAATCATTGGAGAAATGGAAGCTGGTACTGAATTTGAAAATCAAGATCCAAAAGACACGCATACATGTACGTCCTTAAGTTTACCTGTGTCCAATTCAAGCCCTAACTGCCAGGAAGAGACCAGTCAGGGAAACGGGGACAATTGCACCAACATACCTGTGCCCAGTTCAAATAATACAGGTTCTCACAATATGAAAACCTCGGGTCCCCATCCCAGAACACTGACTGAAGAAGAGGCGGCCAAACTGTCACAAGACACACGTGTTGTGAATGACTTCAAACAGATGACTTTAGAAAAAGAGGCCCAGAAAAACTGGGACAAGTTTTATAAAAGAAACAGCACCAAGTTTTTTAAAGACAGACACTGGACTTCCAGGGAGTTTCGAGAACTTAGTGGATGTGATAGCAGTCAGGTTTGTTGGTGTTCATCTTCATGATTAGTGTTGTTCAAGCCTGAACTCACTTAATTCAGAAATATTTAACATGTAATTTTACGTATTTGATGATAATACCACAGTTTTAATTGTAACTACCGTACTAGTACATGTAAGATGAAACAACCGCTGTTTTGTACCTAGGACATTCCCCATTCATCTATGATGCTTATTTTTTTGCCTGTAGGAAGAAAAGAAAATTGTTTTGGAAGTGGGTTGTGGAGTGGGCAATTTTCTTTTCCCTCTTCTTGAAGAGAATCCAAACCTCTTCTTCTACGCTTGTGATTTTTCTCCAAGAGCTGTGCAGTTTGTGAAGGTATGTACAACTTCTTAACTTTGTGAAATCTCTCTCTCCCTCCTTCCCTGCTCTTGGAATTCTCTCTCTCTCTCTCTACTACACAACTCTTGTTATTGCTATTATAAAAATGCATAAGGTGATCACCTCCACAGTGACCCAGCTTATACACATCCCCCCAAAATAATAATAATAACATAAATTAAAAATAAATAAATAAATAAATAAGTAAAGAGAAAAAAATCACTCTATCCTTCATGGTGATTCACCAACCTCTCAAATTGGTCTGATGTGAGAAGGACCTTAATTTTTTCAGGACCACCCCCTGTACAACAGCTCCCAGTGTATGGCCTTCCAGTGTGACCTGACCCAGGACCCCCTGCTGGACACTCTTGAGAACCCCACTGTGGACATCGTCAGCATGATATTTGTGCTCAGTGCCATCCACCCAGAGAAAATGCTCTCTGCTTTAGAAAATATTTATAAGGTGAGAGGAAAATTGTGCCCTTAAATCTTCAATTTAATGAATGATGTCTGTATTTTTGTCGCTATTTTGCTGATACAAGAAATGGAATTATTTTGAATCATCAGACAGTTCCTTTTTCCTTTTTGTTCAGGCTTGGTGATTTTTTTTACGGTAGACTGATTCAGAAATATTTCACACCTTATGTCAACTGCAGTAGGTCAAAACTTTTTCATTTATTAACTGAGATGTCATTTCCTGATATTCCAGGTCCTCAAGCCAGGTGGATGTGTTTTGGTTCGAGACTATGGTCTCTATGACTACGCTCAACTGAGGTTTTCTCCTGGTCAGAAACTGGCAGAAAATTTTTACGTGCGACAAGATGGCACGCGAGCATATTATTTCTCAACAGGTAACAGCTCTCATTCTTTTTTGAAAGACAAATGATTTGGGTAGATATATCAATCCTCATAGAGACGTGGAGAGCATTTTTTTTTTTATTTTCATGTAAAGGAAAGTTGCTTTTTTTTATGCCAAATCAATCAAATCATTCATATGTTCATGTCAGATTATTTTTTTCATTTGTATGATTATTTTAATATTAATTTATGTGTTAGATTTTTTTCATTTCATTACTTTATTTATTTATTTATTCATTCATTTATTTATTTAATAATTTAACTATGTATTTATTTATTTATTCATTTAATTTTTGAATTTATTTCAGACTACCTGTCAGATTTGTTCACCAGAGCAGGCTACCAGATTGAAAACTGTGACTATGTTACCAGGGAAACGGTCAATAAGAAGGAAGGGCTCTGTGTTCCCAGGATATTTGTACAGGGAAAGTTCATTAAGATGAGATCCTGACACGTGTGGATTTAAAATATTGACAGTCGCCTTTTAAAATAAGAAACAAATGAAAAATAAATAATGTCTGAGTTTGTGTTTCAGAACAGTTGATAAAGAAATGGTGCAATTTGATTTTAGTAGATAAACATTGTTATTATTCAAAAAGTATGGAGAATGAAAAAGAAAGAATTTATAGACAGCTGAAAGTAAAACTCATACTGGTTTACTGTTCGGGACCAACTCAAACTGGCTATGTCTTTAGCCCATCGAATTGTCGGTGGTTAAATTGCTGCATAAACGGACGTTACACCAGACGTGAGAAACGAAGGATTGCACTCAAAATTTAAAGACGGAAGAGGTGTCTGAATGATTTAATTATAAGATTCTGTAAGAATCTATTTATCTAATAAAAATATGAATTTCATTATTGATTATTTATTAATCTATCGGGTTATTTATTTATTTATTATGAATAAGTAAAATTGAATAACAGCGGGAAAATCTTGCGTGGCTTGCAGTAACCTCTTTAGTTGCAATATAGCATATTTGGAGTAGCTGTTGGAAAACAGTTTATTCTTGTTGAATTTTTTATGATTAAAATAAAAAAAATGTGACACCGCGAAGGAGAAGGTAAACATTCTCTGTACACCCTGACTTATACATTGATGTAACATATGTAAATATGTTGTGAGTTTAAAAAACGTTTCATGGACATATTTGGAACGAAGAAAGTGAAGATAATCGATATGTAGTTTCCCTGTTCACATATGACTTATGTGCACTGAGTGTAAAAGAGACAAAGTAAACAGAATAATCAACGTACATGTACCTACTTCTTGGTATTTCAACACCCTTGTATAGGATGCAAGCATCTGCTGCAATGTTTCGATGATTGAGGGAGGAAGATGCATCTATTCACTACTCGCTTTTATTTTTGCTACAGCATGTTGTCAAGCAATTGTGTCAAACACTAGTACTGATTCTTGTGCCTCCTCTCGAGACCCCGCCCCCCCCCCCCAGACCCCACACTCAATCTCCATTATTTGGTTCGGTGATTGGTCGATTATATTTTAATCTTTTATCTTTGAACTTGTTGCCAGCAATTCCAAAGGGGTTTTTTTCTAATAATAAATTGTCCTTTTTACCTCGGCCCCTTAGTCGAGCCGACTTGAGAAACGGCATATGATATGGATAAGATCAATCTTCGATCCAGTGGACATTTTCAAGTCAAAAAACGGGTAACACTTTGTCCCCCCCCCCCCCCCCCCCCCCTCGAAACCCACCCACCTCACAGTCCTGACCTTGAACTGACGCGGGCCGTTCATTGACCTCGCATGCACTTGAGCTGTTCGCACTATTAGTGCAGCAAATCGATATAAAACATGTCTGTGACCTCATTGCGTAGATATGGGTAATCACAAAAACGCCGCGTGGTAAATATTAATGCAGGATCTCTCTCTACATATAGCCACACACTCTTAGCAGGTCAGCTTATTAGCGTGCCGGGTAGGTTGTTTTCTTTTAAGAAGTGATCGATATCGTCCTAAATACTAATGTAAAGTAGGCCTACAAGTGTAAAGTATATCAGGTATATCACTGCAGTGTATAAATAGTATAAATTGCATATTACTCTGATTGCTGTACCCTCACACGTGTAGACTGTAAATTAAGATGTCTAGGCATTGCATTCGAATACAGTGTGCATGCAGATGGAGCTCTACGTGAGCACTAATTTTTAAATCAAAATTAAAAATATCCGGTAGAATTATACACCTAATACCACGTACAACAGTGATTCACCAAAACCGAGCGGGTACATCTTCACCCCGAGTATTATACAGCAGTCTGTGACTCTCCTCTACCCAGAGGACACTTCATTATTATTGTCGCTACCCCGGGTGCCTTCCCTACGATTGGCGTATTCCTATTTATATTTTAGGTCTATTCTTTTAACGATGTTGTCGTGAACTGTGAACAATTTACAGGCCTCTTAACTTTGTTTCAGGATCACCATTATTTGTATTTATCTCCAGTTACAGTTTCCAGCGTGTAAAGTTGAAGGATGAAGCACGAGTATTGACCAATAAGACGGACTGGATGGACACCGGTCAGAATAGGTGCCCGTCCCGCTCAGACAGAAACGACCAGATAGCCACAGAAGTCCACCAGGCCGTGGTCACTCACTGTGGGAGGTTGCTCTGTGGGGCATGGAGGGGACTGACCGCTAAAAACATCAGGATGACGCCGCTTGGGTGAGACCGAAAAACATTTATATTAGTTATTCGGGTTATTACGTATTTTTATGCCTTTCAGCTCTACACCAAATGAAAAAATGAACAAGCCCTTGCTTGTCCGTTCAGTGTTTGTTCAGTCAGCGATTCAGTAGCCTACACTTCTCACGTTTTCTCTCTTTTACTCTGTATTCTAAATTTCTTTTTTTTTCGTTTATTTTTTTCGTTAGAGATGGAGCTGCGCTCAGTAACTACATCTATCTTTGTGAAATACCAGAAGATGTACCGCTAGAAGACGGTGAACCAAGACAAGTCGTGGTTAGGTTTTACGGAGAAGTCATAAAGGCGGACACTGAGGGCGTCATTCAGAACACGGTCATATTCTCAATACTATCAGGACTGAAGCTTGGCCCTCAGCTGTATGGTCTATTCGACGGAGGACGGATTGAAGAATATCTACCAGTGAGTTAGACTTAAAACTGCCTTCTATACAGAATAGCTGAAGTCCGTACACAATTTGAAGATAAATGAGAACCTACCTTCCAATGTTGGCTTGCCTCGGTCGTTTTTAGTACAATCATGATACTGGGAGATGGTTTCAAGTAATTTATGAATCCATGGGTGCAAGCTTATGTGAAAGACCCCCTCCTCTACCCCTGAAGCCTATATAGTTCCCTGATAAGCAATAGATGACCGCACTACCTACTGTCCGTCTGATTTTGTGACTGCGATACTTGCACCAAATTGGAGCAGTTCTATTGAGCATTTATTTATTTATTTATTTATTTATTTATTTATTTATTTCCAGTCTAGATGTTTAGCAAAAGACGAGATGCGGCTCCCCTCTACATTGACAAGAGTGGCGAAGTTGCTGGGAAAATATCACACTCTTACAATGCCGATTTGCAAGCAACCGACGTGGCTATATGAAACTATGGAAAAGTGAGTTTGAAATCACCATCTTAGTATTGTTGTAACCATTGGGCCATTTTCATAATTTAAGAGTTATGTCACAGTGCCCGATGTTAACTTTTATATAAATATATGAGTAGGGTTTTGGTCAAAGAGAGCTCAGTTCTGGTACATGTAGTATTCCAATAAGATTGCACTTTGTAGGCTACTGCTTCCTACATGTACGTATTTTGTAAAATGAAATCATTCCTTATGTTTCAGGCCAATATTTATATACTATCTAAATGAACTACTATGGATTTTTCTTGAAATGAAGTAGATCTATTTTTGAGGTTACATGTACAGTAGCTCTGTTCACGGGAATGGTACGGTTAGTCCGCTAGGAACCGAAGTCTGTTTCCCATTACCTCGCACGGGTCTGATTCGCCTCATATTCTGATTTCCGAGTAACCTATTAACCTGTAAGTAATCATTATGGGACCCAGACTTCCATTACTCGGACTACCATTGCGGTCACACCTGATGCTAATAAGAGATCTACCATTATTTGCCCGACCAGGTGGTTGCCCGTGGTGCTGCAGAGGGCTGAGGCAGGCTCTGACGACACTGCCCACAACAGGTACTTGGCAGCAATCAGAGACATGGATTTGAGGACGGAGTATGAGGAAGTAAAGTGAGTTTGAAAAATCTGACCAGACCAGCTATTGAAGTGTTCCCCAACCATCTTCAATTGCACTTGACATTTCTCTCTCTCTCTCTCTCTCTCTCTTTTCTTTTTTTTTCTTCGCTCAACTTCCGAAGCTATTCTATTTCACAAGAAAGGTGTTAGCTAGTCTGAGAAAAATCTCAAGCGTCAAATAATACTTCTCAATATTAGGGCACCTTGCAGTCCTCGTATCACATAGGCCCAACTGTTGCAACGTCACAACTAAGTCGCTTCACCCTGATGCTAGTGACAGGCATTTTATCCCATCATTTGCCTTTATTGTAGGAAAATAGCCAGCAGCGAACCCTCCCCGGTAGTGTTTTGCCACAATGATCTGAATCGGGGTAGGTTTCTTTGGGATCCAGCTAAGTGCATTGCACAGTTGCTTCTGGGAGTCAAATCTATAAAAAAATTTTAAATAATACGATTCCATCATAATTATATCTAGATGGTAAACATTTATTATATTAATTATGCTGACACATTTTTTTCTTAGTAAATTACTCATTGTCTAGTGGTGTCACTTTTAGGCAATATCCTACTACTGAGTGGAAATGACGAGATGAAGTTTATAGACTTTGACTACTGCAGCTATAACCACAGGTACATATATTGTATTGTTCCGTATTGCCTTAGTCATCGCAAAAAGATGGAAAGACTGTACTTACCGAGGTTGTTATGTTAGATTGGACATACTAGCACTTGCCTGTGATCGTTTTCAATTTCACTTAATAAGTAAGATAATTTTCAAACATTTACTTCTATATTTTGAATACTTTAGTTTCTTAATTAGCAATTTTCCTTTTATTTCTTTCATTTTCTACTTTCTTCATTTTTAAAAATTTTTTCAATTATTCATCTATTTACACAGAGGGTTCGATATAGCGACTTATTTCAATGAATGGTGCAGCTACAGGGACCCGGAGGAGTTCCCGCAGTACCTGGAGGACTATCCCGCCCCGGAGCAACAAGTATGGAGGTCCACGTGGCATTTAAATATACCGAACTGTACCGCCGTGTTCAAATACCACGTGCGAAAGTAGCTTGGAAATTCGCAATAAAGGCATCATATTCTCGTAGTTTCGAATTTTGTACCACTTAGAAGTAAACTAAAAATTCGTAATAACGCCTATAATTATTATTTGTCCCTCTTAAAAATGCAAAAAAAAAAAAAAAAAAAAAAAAGAAAAAATCGAAAAAATGCATGCTCATAGAAATAAAATACGCTAGCTCTTCTCTGATTAATGATGGTGTGATTGTCTGAAATATAGCGTTGGAATGTAAGCATTATGTCCAATGAATGCAGGAGTTTAGTTGCACATGTCCACATCTGATTTGAAGAATTGTTAACTACAGCACAATGTTGTCAGCTAGACAACCAGCTTGTGTAAACAGAACAGTTAAAAAACTACCGCATGCTTTTATGAATTTACTTTATTGATGGGTGACAACTGAATGGTTTCTGCATTTTTTTTTGTCATTTTCAGAGAGAATTCTTCACAGAATATCTCAGGTCGAGCGGCGTAGATCAAAGTAAACTGTCCCAGGAGGTGGCATCCATGGCGAGGGAGGTGGACGTGTGGGGTCTTATAGCACACTTCTTCTGGGGCCTGTGGGCCCTTAACACTGTCGGCCGGTGTACCATAGATTTCCCTTTTATAGTGAGTAAAATTAACCGTCCATGCCGTATATGCCATTTATGCACTGTTTCCATCTCACTTTGTTTTTTTTTTCGTGTTTCTATTGATACATTATTGACATTTCGTCGGTTGATATTATTTGCTGGAATATTATTATGTCATGAGAATCTAAGAATTATTTATTTATGTATTTATTTATTTTTTTTTTATTTCAGGAGTTTGCCATGTGCAGGTTACAAACTTACTTCAAAAGAAAAGAGGAACTTTTCGGTCAAGTGTGATAAATAAGGACTTAAATGCCAGTATACCTATAATTGCATTATTGACTATGTTAATTTGCGTGTGTATACATCGTGTAGAGAGGACAGAAAAGGGAACGTTTGGCTTTTACACTGATACAACAATTATTGGTGTATCCAAACTTCATACCAAGGCGTACGTGCGTACTGACGCTAAGCGTGGCGCCAAAGTACTAGTTTGTGTGGCAATTCTTTTGCAGCGTTGTTATATGAAGATGAGAATAAATATTGGAAGTGTTGCTTCATTAGTTTCTTGCTTTATCGATTTTTTTACTGATTGATAACACGTAAATGAAACGAATATGGCCTATAGATGATACAGATACCTCGAGGCCCTTAACATCAGCATTAGCCAGGCGAGTAAATGAGTAAAGCGATTTATCTATCAATGGTAACTGTGTATTATAAAGCACACCACATTTAATTTGCATTTTGAAAGCAGAGGAGTAAATGAGTCACNGGAAAAGTTTCCCGAGTGTCTGTCTACGTATCCTTCCAGGGAACAGCAGGTAGGACTGAAGTCAAACATAGGTCAAATGGAAGTCAATCAGAGGTCAAAAATTTCAAACAGAGGCCAAGTAGAGATCCATTAGAGAAGAAGTAGAGGTTAAGAATTGTTAAAGTGGAGGTTGTTTTTGTCCCCCTCCAATTTATTTGAAATGAGCTTCGTAGCTGCCTCTCTACATTGTCCAGGGTGTCGGTTGTTATAATTTTAAAAATGTTTCTGATATCAGTGTTTTCTTTTGAAATATATGGAATACTTGGCGGTTTAAATAAGTCATAATTATAGTTTAGAAATAAGTTATTTAATTAGAGTTGGTACAAAATATCGCATCCAAAAGGCAAGTGCAAGAACGAGTTGAACCATGATTTGTAATGAGGAGAAACTTGCCTTTTCCTCGAGGAACTTTAGTGCGAAGTCCTCGTATAGTTTCGTGCCTTTAGTTTAACGGTGCAGCTCGGGATATATTCTGTTTTTCAGTTAGAATTTTACAGAACCTATTTGACTGCCAGTGGTATAGATCTCGGTGACATCGAGGACGAGGCAGAGTCCATGATACGAGAGGTCCGAGTTTGGGGCACGTTGGCACATTATTTCTACGCTCTCTGGGCTCTGAATACAGTGGGGAAGTGTAACATAGACTTCCCTTTTATCGTGAGTACATAACGCAAACCCGCTACTATAATTCTAAATGTTGTCCTCTGGAATAGAAATAAGGTTCTCAGATCGGGAAGGGTGGGGGAAAAAACGTCGTTAAATTCTCAATCGCATTGTTTTATTTTTAGAAAATGTTTGAAAATGGCTGTTGTTGTTTTTAAAGATCCTCAAAGCTTGAACATATTTCTTGTTATATGATTTTTTTCCAGATTTTAATATTAGATTTTAAAAGCCAGTGTTTACATTATTACATTACACATCTTAAACGTCATTTAAATTACTGTATTCACACACATAAAAAGCTGAACTTTTTTATTTTAGATTTATGTATAAATTGACGTTTGGACGTTTATTATATTTCTTCCAGGAGTGGGCCGTGTGTAGGTTGGAAACCTATTTTAAGTGGAAGGCAGAACTTGGATGATGCTTGCTGAAATATACCAAGCCACGGTGTAAGGGCAAACCGGACCATGGACGCGAATAGCAAAAAAAAAAAAAATAAATAAAAAATAAAATAAAAAAAAATTAAAAAAAAACCGATATAGATGAAATGAGGCATGCAGTTCAGGCATTAACGACAAACATGTATTTGCTTTTAGTAGAATTAATGATACAAGATAATTGTGGCGTTACTAAATTATGGAGATACACCAACAGAGGGCATACATTTTTCTGTATCTGTGCTTGTAAACATTATCGGGATGTTTAGGAATATTGCGTGTACCATCCCCCTCCCCTTGATGCCTACACATAGGAAATTTGTAAAGAACAACGTGTCTAAATTTGTTATAGAGATTCAAAGCTAAAACAGGCGTGAGATAACTAGAGAATTTTATCGGAGCGGAGTTTAGTCATATGATGTAGTTTCTGCCATTGTCTGAGGTACTGCTGTAATAACTTCTAGACTCTGAACTTACAAGTGATGCATAATTCCAATCTGTGTGTACGAGAGACACTAAAACCCTTACGTTAAACAGATTTCGGGATTTGCAGGGATTCACCTACCTGTAAATGTAACTTCTACCCTCAGATTTAAAAAGCAAAATAATCATTAAGCATCATTATATGGTGCATTTCTTAGCTATTTGAAAGGATGACCTCGAAGAAAATGTAATATGCAATTTTATTATTTCCACTGCCATTATGAATTGCTCTTTGGTTGGATACTGGCAATATTTTACGACCACAATTCAGCATACGGCTTTACAGCATATATTTTCTGCTGCTTGATTTTAGAAGCCACAAAGGACACGTTTTCAAAAACAGACAGCTAGGAACTCGAGTTATGAGAGTCGGACCCCACTGGGTAACTAAATATTCGGATAAATTTAAAAGTAAATGATTACGTTATTGACACACATTTCAGCACATTGGAAAAGCACGTAAAAATTAAATTAATTATTCGAAATGTGAAAACGCCAAATGCATGCACAGTAGAATAAATTGGCATGGAAAATACGCCCCCATCGTCATTAATTTAATTTTCATTTATTTCAACTACCAATATTGTAACATTCTCATTGAGTAGGTTCATTTGCTGTTGTATTGTATTTTGATTAAAAAAAGTAACTCGCATTATGTGAAAGGTATGACCATGCAGTGTCAGGTCAAGCGGTTCTTGCACGTCACGTGACCTCACCCGCTCGGGTGAAGCATTCCTTTTCATTTCTAAGGTTCGTTGCTAACATCTTTTATGCACAATGCACATAAATCACGCCAAATTAGATAAAATGAAAGAAAATGCCAAGACAAGAGCAATCAAAAGACGCGCATGGCCCGCCACAGTTAACCCTACAAGTCCGTGGAGGATACGCACCAGTATTGTTTTCGTCGCCGGGGATAACTGAATGGGTGGATCCGTACGGGAGAACCCCACTAAAATGTGAGTATATATATAAAAATGTATTGTCTGTCTTGGGTGTTTCTGTTTCCGTAACACTGTTCAAACAATCATCAATTTTTACGGATGGTGATAATATCGTTGATAATTTGTGTTTACTTCATCTCTGCTTCTATGTTTTTATGTGCTCGCCTCTGGCTGTATGTCTGCATGATGATTGGCCTTTCTCTGTCTGACATTGTTTGTGTCCAATGTCTCTCTCTCCTTTCTGCGTCCTCCACATAAAAAGCAGTGAATCATTTATAACTGTTAATTGTCAGAAAAAAATTATTTCGTCACTAAAAGAGAAACCCATTTCACCATTGCGATTCCATCAAAGTGATTTCGAGAATCAGTTTTAAAAACCTTTGATTAATTGTAAAGCGAAGAGAGTATCGTAAGTATAGGATGTTTTAAGTCACAAAGAGCCAATATATAAAAAACTGTCTCATTTCGAAGGCTAAAAAAAGCTCCAGTGCACGTGCACACATGTGTGGTTCGCGTGTGTGTGGGCATGTTTGTGTGTCAATGTGAACGCGTGTCTGTGTGGGTATTTAAAATGCCCATTTAAGAGATAATTAACAGGTTTTCTAAGTCTATAACGATTTTAAAGATGCCAGTAACACCACTGTACAGAAATAGAAAATAAAAAAGAAAACACCTTGTGAAATTAATGTGATGAGTGGACGTCTTCCTTTTGTACACCTGTGTAATATATATTTAAAAAGAAAATAGGCACATGTAAATTAGAAAAAGTGAATAGTCGACTTTAACCAACATAATTCTAACATATCGGACCTTTTGATATTTTGAACAAAAATTTTTCATTTGTCCTCAAATACCATATCTATTATTCTGCAATAAGGACACGTTAGACTGAACAATTGTTTTGCAAGCATTTAAGGTTAGGATTCCCATTTGTGGATTGATTTATGTCATGGTTGAACGCAAAGTGAAACATTAACGACGCTGTCTGCGTAAATGACGTCAGTCAAGTGTCAAATTCTTCACAGGTCGTAAACTTGCACAGACTTAGCCAGAGAAATATCGGTGAAAGCTTTATCTGAGGCGACACCATCTTTTCAGGGGGAGGGGGTGGTATCATCAGCCGTGTTGTGTGCTAAAAATAAGGCATTTTTCTTCACTTTGTAGTTATTGGAGGTAAATGATTGAGACTACTGTAACTGCTTTAACCTTCATAATTCCCTTTTCATGCTCGGCGTTTTAAGGATAATATTTGCAGAGCTGTCAGATTCCACGAGTCGTTGGAGGGTTGAGTATTAAAGTACGTGACGACGGCGCATTCAGTCATACCTCAACTTTAACTGTAGGAGTACATCCTTTACCATGTAATTGGTAAACTATAAAGACGCAGTTTGAGTGCCAATAAAAGGCGTTTATAGACCGTGATACATATCCATCGTATTATTATTACCGCAGGCCATCTACAGCTATATCAATGTGAGTTTTTCCCAACGTTTAAATATTTCAAAATGTGAAGTTGGTTTAAAATTGGCCAATTAGTCTAAATGCATGAGGCATGCTTGTCTACTCTTACTATGGTAAGAGTAGGCATGCTTGTCTACTCTTACCATAGTAACTTTGGAGGACTTTAGCATGACTTGTTGACCTGAGAGTCAGAGACCTGGTAGGGTCAGCAAAAATTGGTTGAAATTGTTAAATTGCATGTATGTATGAGGCCAGTTTAATGTAAACAATTTCATCAGTGTATATGCAGTTTGTAAAACACGTGTGTGTATGAGACCAATTTAATGTAAACGATTTTATCAGTATATATATATATATATATATATATATATATATATATATATATATATATATATATTTCATCAGTATATCAGCGCCAATTGTACAATAGAACCGATAACCTAAACTTTGCCTTAAAGCTCTTAATTATATAAAATTCTTTATTCTTCGTATTTC